TATGGGTGTGTAGAGTAAATACAATTGTTTTTGTTTTTCTTTATTATTGGGTTGGCTATTAATTCTCACGCATTTGTAGACAGATACTCGTTTCTTTTGTTGTTCGTTGACAGAGTTGGCAACTTTTTAATTTTTAGAAGCACTAAACCACAAAAAAGCACTAAAATAATGAATTCGAATAGCGTCATTTTAGAAAAAATTATGTAATACAATTGGACTATGACCTATTAAGACTGTATTTTAGTAATCAAATGTTGAAATTATTAATATAATTTATTAGTTATATGAATGTAAAGAATTATCCCATTCTTCTTTACTTATTGTTAAAAAAAAAACGTACTTCTATACTTGGTGTCTCCTCCAAATAATCAAAGAACATTTATATTCCTTCTGTTGATCACTTTTTACTTGGTTTTTTCTTTTTAATTTATTTTGAATAATTTTTGTCTCTATTTAGTTTTATTTATTTTGTTGTTTACAATTGTCAGCTGTTTAATTAAAAAAATTGCAAACAACGTTAAAAAAAAAAAAATTATACTATGGTGTGACAATTGCAACAGTGTGTGTTTTGTTGTTGGTTTGCAATCACAAAGTATACAGAGATGTCACTTTTGACATTTACAAAAGTCAAAAATCAGCTTTTCTGCGGCGTTTGTAAACATTTGTGGGAAGAGGTATATAAAATACAGCTAAAAAAATTGGTGTAAAGTGGTGTGCGAAAGAGATAGAAATAGTTTTTTGCTCGTGTCGCCTCTGTATACCCTGTGTTGCAATAAAAAGCTATGATATTTTGCATTTGCTCTTTTAAAAAACCATTTTCACTAAACACTAAACTCCGCTAATGTTAAAAAATCATTAAAAATATGAAGAGCACATGTTCCGTTATTACTGCATATTTAATGCGCATAAAACACTTTTAGAGTATATTATTGGTTTCCCTGATTATGACCGTTAAACAACTTTTGAAAACTTAGCCACCAGATTTTAAGCCGTCATCGAAATTTAATGTATCATCCGGCGTCAACAATTATGGTCGTCGCAGGTCTCTGATGCTCTCTCGCCGCACACTGCACTGCAGTTGTTCTGTTTTTCTTGTTCTTACTACTTGTTTAGTGAAGTGCTAAAATCGGGCTTGAGTGAATTAATAAATATATTGTATCAATGAAATAAAATACAAGGGAAATTAATATCAATTAAAAATAAATTTTTCATTTTAACAAGTTCCTCATATAATTGTGTTCAAAATGATTATAAGATTTTTAAGAATAGTTGTCTGTCTAATATTTTGTTTTTCATGTTGCTGTTTAGCGGCGGGTAAGTTGCCGAAAAAAGACTAAAAAGGAAAAAATAAGAAATTTATAAATTCCAATGGTGCTTTTAGTGGGGGAAGAAGAAATTTAATAATTTTACAACACAATGTGAATGTACCTATATGAAAGTAAAGCTTAGAATAATTAATTAATTTTCTAATAAAAGTTTAATGAACTTAAGACAATAGAGAACGAAAACATACAGTTATAAATAATATTAACGTTTTAAAAGAGTGAGTAAATGAAGTACCAAATGTCAAACATTTATGTTCTTTATTGAAACAATCAGTAAACTGCAATTTTAAGTCCAACAAGTGTTCATACATAATTTTATATTTTGTTAATATTAATCTTTAGAGTTAGTTTTACTTTTATTTAAAATTTTTTTATAGTTTTGTGTATGATAACCTTTTTTAAGTAATCAGTGTTTTTAGGTCATTTTAATATTAAAATATTTGTTGTTATTGGTGAAAGTTATCTTGTTTATTATTATAGTTGTTGTTCTCTTTATACAAATTTAGCATCATTTAGGTATGTATTTTTAAATTTATTCTTAATTTTATTCTTTCTGTGTTGAAAATTTATGAAAAAAATGACGTGGCTAGTTGACGTCTTCCTACAATTTTCCTTATCAGTTTATACAAAATCTAGCTTTTCGTACAAATTTAATTTTAAACAGATCAGATTTAGTTAATCACTTCTAATACAGTGGTGTCTACTTAAATAGAACACACATGTCTATTAAATTCATTCACTTTCTAGAACAATATCTCTTAAATGGAAAATATTGATTTCAATGGAAGATTGATTTCAATGTAGCAAGGGATTCCCAAATTATTTCGAAAATACATATTTTAAAGTTAAACTAATGATTTTAAATGTTGGCCTAAATTAAAATTACTAGCAGTTAATATTTGAAGTTTCTTTTATAATCTGAAAGACTCTTTATTTCCAATAATTTGTTTTAAAGTTGTGGGATTTCCTATAAATCTCATGTAGGTACATACATATATCGAATTTCGTTAAAGTTATATTGCTCCATAATTAACATATTTCCTTACAGCATTTTCCCCTCTCATACCCTATGAGAGCCAACAGTACTATGTTCTTGAGAATAAAGTTTCTACAAAACAATTGCAACATGTTTCGTCTCAAGAAATCAGCTATACCTTCAATTCACTGCTCAAAATAAATTCAGTTTGGAATTCAGACAACGAACAACTTATACAAGTTTACTTTACGGAAAATCGTGTCTCCGCTCCTGGCAAAAAGGGCAATGTAAAAGTGCAAGAAATTGAAAAGATTCCCGATAGACCATTTTATATTAGCTTTATTGATAACAAACCAAGTAAAGTTATTGCTCATACATCGCGGGATCAGTCTCTGCTAAATATGGAACGAGGCATTGCCTCGTTAATGCATATTAATTTTGAAAATGGACCCGTTAGCGAAATAGATGTTTCGGGCATGTGTAATAATTTCTATAACATCAAGTCGTCTACAAAAGTAAATAAAATCAAAACTGATTGTTCCCACTGGGATTTAAAGGTGAATTATAGAGGCGAAAAACCTTTAGGTAAGTGAAATGGATATTTTAATGAAATCGGTTAATAAACTAAATTTATCTTATATCAGGTGTTCATCAAAAATCATTCGAAAGAGTTGAATATGATTTGTCGGCCGACGGTCAGTTGTTGCTAGCCTCTTCGGTGGAAACTCATAAATTAAGTTTGGAAGCCCAGCCAGAAGTTGGTACTCAAGTAGAATCTTTGTTGTTTTTAAAGCACACTGCTTTTGCCGCTGAACCAGTTGAACAACTTCCCTATAAAACTTCAGAAGAAGCTATTAAGAGTTTATTGGAATGGTATAGGGTATTTGAAATTGAAGCTGATGTGGATGGTGTTATTAGTGAAATTAAGGACATTACAGTAAGTTTTAAGTAAAATTAATATAGAAATCACAAAAATTGCTAACTATTTTAAAATTACAGCTGAAACAACAAGTTGATTCATTTAATAATGATTTAACCGATGATTTAATTGGCAAGGAAGCCTTGGCCGAAGCCTTTGTTAAACTTATACCTTTGGCTCGTATTACCAAACAAGAAGAATTTGTGGATATATTAAAATCCAATAAAAAATTACACTCTCAATTGGTAGATCTTCTAGGAGCGGTACAAACTATTGATGCCCATAAAGCCATTCATGAAATTTTTGATTATAACAAAAAGTCAGATGTAGATTTATTGGAGAAATATTTACAATCCCTTTCAGTTGGAACACATCCTGAAAGATCTATAATTGAAGATCTCTTTGAACGTCTTACAACTGCTGAGGAAAATGCCATCAAAAATGAAAAATTGCAAGATTCAGTACTTCAGTGTGTGGCCTCGCTCACCCATCAATCAGGCTTTGATTCTAACGATAAACTTTTGAAAGAAATTAAAGACTTTATTTTTAAAAATCTCCTTGAAGTTTGTGAAGAGGAAGTCTGCAAGACTCGTTACATAAGAGCTTTACAAAATCTACGCGATCCTACAACCATTTCCATTTTAATGAAGTATGCTTTAAAGGAGGAAACTAAAATATCTGTGGCCGCCATGCAAGCCTTAAAATCATTCCCCATTATACACTTCAATGAGAAACATCGTCAAGCCTTTACTCACATCTTCTATCAAATACCAAAGAAATACGATTCCTCTGCTCGCACTTTGGCTTTGGATATACTCTTGGCCATGAAACCAACACCCGAACAATTGGGACATTTATTGGATTATTTGGCCTCCAATGATCGCCATTTCGAAATTAAAACTTATGTTATACAAAAGCTGAAAATGTTGTCGGATAAGTGTCCACGCTTTAGGGCTCTGCTCGAGGCTGGTTTGTATGAGAGACCTCATATTAATAATTATCACATAATTGGTCAAAAGGGTAAGTGAACGAATTGAATTATTATGTTAGATTTTTTTTAATACTCTACATATCGTTCCTGTTTTAAATTTTAGTACTATGTGGATTTTTTCGAAATTTTTTCATTGTTGCAATTTGATTTAATAAGAATTATTTTCTGCTAATTTATGCAAGAATAGTAATCACAATATCTTTATAAGTATTAATCTTATTGATATTTTTAAGTAGCACTGCTAAGCAATATAAAAAGAAAATCATTCGAAAACAACTGATGATCTTTACCTAACAATCGCTGCATGGTATTATAATTGATCAAAAATCCCTAAACCCAAATTTCGAACGACATCTTCAATCTGTACATAAAGGGGAAGTACATTTCAATATAAAAACTGTTAAAAATTCAGTTATTTTTCAATATATATATTAATTACACTAGTTAACGAATCCGCGAAGATACATATTTTTCTAGTTAAAATTTTTTTTTGCTTTTCTGAAAACTTTGTTAAAAAACACATTGTACTAATATTCAAAACAGGGACGATATGACTTAACGCTTTTTGAACTTAACACCTTTCTCGCATATATTCTGGGAAATGAAATTTCATAGAAAAACGTTAATGTTAATTTTGTTAGATAAAACTTGGTCTAGGTCAAATTTAGGTTTGAAATTTTATACATAAACTTTAATCTAGACTCATATTCCTAACAAAACTAACAAATGCCACCTTAATATTAACACAAATTCCTCTATCGATACCATTAACTTTTTGAAAATAAAATACAAAAACATAAAACAGTTTAGCAAAAATTAACAAAAAGAAAGAACCTAAAGGCAAAAATATCATAAATCAGATTAAAGTGCATTTGTTGTAACGTATACATTTTCGTAACCTATTTGTAAATTTTTTGTTAAATAGCAAAAAATTATTGCTGAACAGCGATTTTTGTTTAATGGCCAATATCAAACAGAAATTGAAATCAATTTATCCAAGTAGTTGCATAGAAAATTTCAAAGGGACTGGTTGGCATATAAAAAAGTTGTTCCTAAAACTAATAAAAATTTTGGAAATGTTTACCTTGAAATCCTTTTGTTTAATATGGTTTCTCTTGGGCATCGTCGCGGAGATAATGTCAGAGGATTATTTACATTTCGGCGGTACCGAGGAAGAGTCTAGACAGGCAGCGTATTATTTGTCTGCCGATAGTGGTTCTAATATAGGTCCTACGGATGAGTTGAAACGTACACAGCGTTCATTTTGGAAGAAATTATTTAAAAACGGGCTATTTGGAGAATGTGATAACTGCTGTAATAACTGTAATTACGATGTAGGAAATGGTGATAATTATAGTCCGGCACCTTTGCCTCTTTTGCCATTTCAGCCCTTTCGACCATTGCCACTGTGGCAAAATTTACAGCCTTTATTCGGTCCAATAAACTATGACAGCTATGGCAGGGGTAGTTATAATAATGCCAATCCTCCGCGTTATAATGGTAATGCTTTTAACAATCCTCCCAGCTATGATAACAATGTTCCACCTGCACCTGAAGCGGTATATGAGATACCCACAGAACTGCCACCAGCAGAGCCTGACTACAATGTTAATAATAGCCCTGCTGTTGAAGAATTATATGAGCCGCCTGCTGCTGTGCCTGAAAATACTTATAGCCCTCCGGAGCCTTCAACATATACAAAAGAGGAAACCCCTAAAGCTAACCAATATACAAATGGAAAAGTACCACAAATTATATATCAACCCATTATATATGTATCACCTCAGTATCAAGGCAATAAGGACTTAATCAAACAAATCCAACAGGAAGAGACTAAATATGATGAAAAACCTAAAGAGGAATATAAACCCTTGAGTCCTAGTTATGAAACGGAAACTGAAAGTGAATCCGCATCACCTTCATATAGCTCAGAGGCAGATAGTGAAAAATCAGATGACAGTTCTAAAGATAACTACAATAAACCGGAACCACAAACTCCTGTTGTAGTAACACCTTGCAGTCAATCTTATGCTGTTCCATCTACACCTTGTTTAAGCCCACCACTCACAAATCCAGCTGTATCAACAGTCTCTACTGTTTATAATATTATTACTCCATCATTGCTACATACTCTAACAGCAGGTCAAAGCCCTTCATACATTACTAGTGTAACTGCACCCAATGTGCCCTGCTCAAATGAAGAACCTTCAAAGTATTCCTTAACTCCCTCTAATGTTATACCTTTGGATAGTTATTCATTGCCATCCTCATCTCCAGCGCCAGCAGCAATGGCTTACTTGTCACCTCCAGCCCCTATGACAGCACCAAAACCTGCTCCACCTCCAGCTCCTATGCCACAATCCTATATACAACCAATTCACTTGTCATCTGATGATCAACCATATCGTGTCTGCCCGGAACTTTTTGAGGAATATCAGCGTAAACTAAATACAATTTTACCACACATTCATGCTGGCCAGGGAGGAAGTACTTTTGTCAATGCCCAACTAATACATTATTGATTTTGCTCGGGCTGTGCAGTTTTAAAGAAATTGTCTCTTGTATATGTATTTTCTATTTTTAAAAAATAGGATTAATTTGATTTTAACTTGTAACATGTGTATAATAAAATTATTGTATAGAAAATGTATTGTAAATTACAATTTTTATAGAAATTCAGAAAAGCACTATGCTAATTTTCAATTTTGCATCTCAAAAAACCTTTACTTTTAAATTTTCTTATGAAAATTCTAAATATGAAATGTACTTTGAGTAAAAATTTTTTTATTGGAAATTGTAAATTTTAGTTGAAAATTCTCAATTTTAAACATTTTATTTATAATTAAAATATGTTTTCATGGGTCGTAAAGGTGTGCATTAGGTTCAGTAGGGTCCTAGTAGGGTCCTAAAATAAAAATCCCATCCAAAATTTTCAAAACTTTTGATTGGAATTTGCTTGAATACTCATTAACGTAAAAATCAATTTAAATTAAAACTATTGACTAAAATTACATTTTCATATTGTGAACAATACAAAACGAATATAAATACTTATTTTGTGTTAAGACAAGAATGAAATAGGTAATTTTCATTTAATACATATTTATAGAAGAGTGATTGTTAAGGGTAGTATCATTTTCAAAAATATTCATTTTAAACATTTTTTCTCGATCTTGATTTTTAGAACAAAAAATCTAATCAATTTGTTTAAACTTAAAAGTATTACTAACTTCCATTTTAAATAAGACAAACAAGACAAATAAGACAATAAAAATAAACAATAGTTTTCTTTATATTTTAGGTCTTACTACAGTTTTATCTAGAGAATTATCTTGGGCTCCTGCTTTCAATGAAAGTCTACTCAGTACTCAAGAAATTTATCAAGGCGTTTTGAAACGAGGTTCGGTTGAATTGATATTATCTGCTGGCAGGGAAGAAACTAGCACCTTTAAGGTAAACAGTTACAAATCCAAAACAATTTAAAAGTACAAGCAAAATAGTTGCTGTATAAATATGAACTCATTCTTATATTATTTTAAAATTAATATTGTTTTCCAGCTGGGCATCTATACTAGTGGTTTAACATCGTTTGTAGGAGATAGTGAAGAGGATACAAATGATGATGACGAAGAAGTCGATGATAGTCCTGCTACTGCTGGTATGGAAATTGCTGTACAAGGGGTTCTCTTGAGACCTTTGATATTTTTCACCGGCCAATCAGAATTGATGGGTCATGTTTGGAGTGGCACGGCCTCAGATCCCACACCTGCCTTCCAAGCTACCACTTTAGCTCAAGATCATGAACACTATATAATATTATCATCAGGAGCCACTGTTTATACGAGAGTAATCGGTTCTAAATCGGTGGATTTGAATGGCAAAGTAGATTTCAGTATTTGGAATCGTAATGCCAATACCGAAATTCAACAAAAGTAAGTAGATTTTATTAAAAATCAAAACTTATTTTTAATAATAAATAATTTTAGTTCTGCTGCTGCCGTACATGGCATAATGAAAGCTGGCTTTACTTATGCCCAAGTAAGCAATGAGTTCCTTTTGACCTATGAGCCCAAAATTAGCCTTCAAGCTGATATTGATTTCTATTCTGGCATTAAATTGTGCATGCAATTGCAAAGACCTAAAATGCAGTTAAAGTAAGTTAATATATAATTTTTTTATTGGATTGATTTTAATAATTTATTTTTTTCTTTAGACACTTCAACACCAAATTGGTTACTTTACAAGCCGACCACAGATTTAGCAAAAAAGTCTTGTCCAAATACTCGTATAACTTCCCAGGCCGTACTTTAGCTTTAAATCAAAAGAATAATGAAATGTGTAACATGATTTTCAATTGATTGAATTTCTTAAGCATTTAGTTTTTTCACTCGAATTCCTAAGTTTAATTAGGATTAGTTGTTTCTTACTCGTTACTACCTCTTGGAACGATATAGAAAAATAATTTAAAACATGGTAAATTATATAAAAGTGATTTTGTATTTTTGTATAGAAAAGTGTTAATTTTTTTTTTTTTTTGATATTTTATCACTGTTGTGGTGCATACTCATGTATATTTTCCTTTCTGTATAATTGTTTTGCTACGAATTTATAAAGCTTAGCTTAAGTTTAAATTCTCAAATAAAATAAATAAATTTATATATGTATAGATTTTGATCCTATGGAGTGATGCATTGACTAGTCTGTAGACTAGTTGACTAATTTATTTATTTTCAAGTATATGCACTAGTCAAAGGACTAGAATAACGACTATTCTATGTACAAACCCAGTAAAAACTTATATTGAAAAGTAAAAGTAAAGAAATTTACTTACATAATAGAATTTTAAGTTATTATTTTAACACGGGGATGACATTGGAAACCAGAACTAACTTTCCTATGCATGCGTGTTGGTCTGTGAGACCTATTTTTATACCCTACACCACTATAGCAGGAAGGTATTATGCGTTTGTGCTGATGTTTGTAACGCATTAAAATATTAATACGAGACCCACCTTAAAGTATACCGATCGACTCAGAATAACTTTCTGAGTCGATTTAACGATGTCCGTCCGTCCGTGTGTCCATGTAAACGTTGTTATCAAAGTACAAGTACAATTTTCAATATAATTTAATGAAATTTGGAAAACACGTTTGTTTAGACCCAAGGACGAAGCCTATTGGTTAAAATTGTTAAAATCGGTCCATTATTTCACCTAGCCCCCATACAACTGAACCCCCCGAAAAGGGCTTTTGAGCTAATTATGTGTAATATAAATGTATCTCAATGAAAGTTCGCACAACTAAGTTTTATACAAGCCTTGATGAGCTTGACGAATTTCGAAATGATCGGACTTCATTTGACCCTAGCCCCCATACAAAGCCCCCTTCAGAAAGTGATTTGAATATCTGCAATTAATTTATTAGCAGTGAAATTTAGCACAGACAAATATTATATAAATACAAATTTATCCAGCCCATTTTATCGGGATCGGTCCACATTTGCTCCTATCCCCCATATAAAGCCTCTTTTGGAAAATAAGTTTTTTATCAATAAATTGCTTAAATAAATCGGAATCAAGGTAATATTCAAGATTAATGCTTTATTATGAAAAATAAATCACATTTAATATTCATAACTGGTGTAGGGTATCATATGGTCGGCCAAGCCCAACTATACTTTCTTACTTGTTTTAAATTGTGATTTTTTATTATAAAAAAGAAACGGCAATATATTGACGCTAATATACAGCTTCATGATTTCATGTAAGCTTCATTTTAATATAATGCAGACGGTTTGTAGTAGTCACTGAAAAGTAAGTTGTTGAGTAAGTACAAGCCATTACCATGATTTTGCTGGGATTTTATGGTCACTGAACTAGTATATTGACTAGTTTGGATTAGTATAATGACTAGAATGAATATTGGCGAGTATATTTACTTGTTTATTGAGTAGTCTATTGACTAGTCTACGGAATAGTGAACTGACTATTCTATGTGTATTAATTATGTACCAGGTTTTAAATGTGTAAAAACTCTGGTAACTTTTTCCTTTTTCGAGATATCTGAAGACAAAGCAAAGATTCGGATTCAGCATCCTATAGAAAAGTTTTTTTAATTTTGTTGGCCTGTGTAATTTTACCATATATTTCTGGACTACCAATTTTTACAACCATGACTTTTTTGTTTAGAATAACACATCGAAAAGAAATGTCAAAATTACAACCAAAAAAGAAACATGTAGATGGCGCTATGTTACAAGAGAAACCTATATTGTTCTCTTATTTAAGAGAGTCGCTAATAACAACCAACAACAACAAAAAAAATCGCCATACAAAAATTCTTTAATTTTAATTTCAGTCTTTTAACGAAACTCTATTGGAATGTGTGAATTGTCGCTAAATCGAAGGCACGCGTTTAATTGAAGTGAAAATAATTAAAAAGTAATAAGTTTTATGAAAAATCCAAGTAAATTTAATAGCAAATTTAAAATACTGCGGTCGGTGTATTAAAAAATAATAAAAGAAAAGGTGATTATTTAATAGATAAAAGTGTTTTTAAGTGAACTCAAAGAAAAAAACTGAAATACCTAGGTATTGATTTTTTTACAAAACTAAATTGGGCTAAAGAAAAAAAACCCAAGTAATTTCATCACTCACTTTCTGTATGTTGTTTTTTCTACTTCTACTTTGAAGCCCAACAAAATCAGAACTTTTTTGTGTTGAAGAAACAAAACGGAGAAGTAAAAAATTAAACTGCCGTTATCATTAAACAAATAAAATAATAATAAGAAAAAAGAATTTAATTTATAGTGTTTATAAAGTGAAATTAATGTTTAAGAAATTCATATAAGCAACAACAACAAGAAGAAAACAAATGTGTATTAAAAAGCGTTGATTGCAAAAACAAAAAGAAGAAATGTGTACACTACAGGGCTGCAAGAGAGAAACTAAAACAATAACCAAAGTACTTTTTTAGAATTAGAAATAGTACCTACTAAACTTAATGAGGACATAATTATTGTGAGATTATGAATAAAATATTAATGAAATTATGAAAACGTGTAGATAGAATAATTTTAATAATGTTCAGAGTTTTTTTTTTTGAAAAAAAAGTACCCAACATGTGTTCATCTCTGACTTGTACTAAATTTATAAACGAGCACTACAACGGGAAGAGTAATCACCCTGCTGTTAAATGCCAAATTAATTCACATGAATATAAAATAATTTATTTATTTTTTATTTCACATCAACCTCAATAAAAAAAACAGCTTTATCAAATTATCATCACTTAAATAAATGTTGCTATTTTCTTTTGCTGATTTTAAAACACTTACCAGCCGCTCTAATCATTTTGCCTACTACAACAACATTTATTTATGAACAACAATAATTTGTCTTTTTACGTTTTTTTTGTTCATTTTTATCAACTTGTCTAAATATTTGTATTTGTTTATTTAAAGATGAAAGAAAAAATGTGTGTATGTACATTAAGATTTCTTATGTTTTTTGCTTTAACATTGCGTACCGAAAAAAATAACAAAAAAAAAACATTAGAAATTGTATGTAGGCAACCAAACAACAACAATACTAACATTAATGCATTATTTAAATC